GGATGCATTAGGACTAACGGTATGGACTGGGGTAATTATGGCAACTAGTGGGTTGTTATTTTCTGATACCAACCTGCACTTGGGTGGGCAGGAGTCCTTGAATGACTTCAATGTTGAATGAATAAGTGACTGTAGAGTCCACAGAGTCCACAGATGAAAATGTAAACTTCATTCAATCCTTTAAGTCCTGGGTATTTAACAAAACAACATGTAAAAAAATCGAATTTTCATGTTAAATGTCTTGTCAGATCAGGTTGACTTTAGTGCCACCTATCAGCGGCATAAAAAAACTAGGCAGTAAATAACTGAAATTACTGTGCCGTCCTAAAACGTTAACCTGATTAGCATACAAACCTAAAGTTAGGCTAAATTACATTAAACATGTAATTAAAATATATAATTATTATATTATATATAGAGATATTATATAGATATTAGATTAGATAATTATTAAAAGATTGCTATAAGGTTGTTTAATGTTGTCTAAAATATGTATCCAAAGTAAAATAAAGGTAAGTTAAGGCCAAATAGCTCCATATGCTTAAAGTTTGAAGGATTAGCAAAAAAGGAAGCTAGGAATTAGCCTGGAGACTTCAACCTTTATTCAGTGCAGTATTTGGAAAAAGAACTTCATGAATGAACGGACAACAAAGTGAATTTCCTTCTCATATCTCTTCTGTGATCAATGATCTGATATGATGCTTGGCTCTGTTTACTCTCTGCATTTTCTAGAGCTGAAAAACAACTCTTATTTACAACCAACCAGCTGCACAGAGATTAAACAACAGACCAAAACACAAAAAGGACAAAGTAAGACATCATGGACATGAAAGAGGAGAACGACATAATTTACACATGCTAGAACCACATGTCTATTAAAATGTATAAATGAGAGGCCAGAGGCATTTGACACATTTGACAAGCTGGGAAGAACAATGAACAAATAACAAAAATGAATAAAGCTGAGAATCAACTGATCTACAGCAGAACACAAACTGTTCCACGTCCAAGAAAAGTCTCATTCTGTACTGTTACAATTGAAATAAATAATTATGAAAAACAAAAGACAATGTTAATGATTCTTAAATACCGTTGTGAACAATTGTTCTCCGATCATTTGCTAATCTTTTGGTTAAAGAACAGTATTTCTGGAACAACATCTAGCGAGTCTTAGCTAACACCAGGCTGGATTTGTGTGGATTTGAAGTTTTTGAGTTTACATTTAGATTTCTTTAGGCTAAAATGTTCTAAAATGTAAAATCTTTTTTAGGTGTACGCTTTTTTTTTTTTTGCCAAAATGTACTCTATTTTTAAATTTGTTTTATGTGTATGCTAACACACACTTTTAACCTGTGACTTTTAGCTAGCTACCTAGCTAAGTGGAGGTTTACATAATACTCATTATACTCATTTTGAATGTTGAATTTTGAATTTCATGCTACGCAAAATACATAGGAGTTCTGTGACTTTGCCAGTAACAGTTATCGTGTATAGAACAATCATTTTAATGTCTTTTTTTTTCTCCCTCTAAAACAATGCAAATGTGTGTTCCTGGATGACTGCCAGGAAACTTTTGTATTCTTTATCAACTGTAATCCGACTCTGAGAACGTCTGGACCTTCTGTTTCTTTACAACAGGATATGTCTCATGTTCCTCTCAATAAAAGTGGCCTCACCGTGAGTGAGTGAACGCAACACGACTGGAGAGTGTTACAGCAGAAACTGTATAAACGCTATCGCATGTGCAAATCTGTGAATGCCAGGTTTAATATGAAGACACGTGCACAAATATACACACCTGTGCTGTTATATGTCTGAACATCTGTCCCTGGATTCTTTATATATTATGAAAATAATCTTTTTACACATGTTGTTCACTTTAAATTGTCTGCTGCTGCTGTAGAAAGGACTTTGTGTGAAAGACGTCATGTGAAATGCCATTCTTTTAAACTTGTTTGATCAATTACTCGTTATAGAAGCTGCAGGTATGTCTCTGCACAAAGTCAATTCAGATGTCCTCGCCCAGCTATGGTGGACTGACTGATTGTCCAACCATGTCTTACAGCATCTCAAAGTGTCTCAATGTCTCCCCTTCCTTTCAACTCTTTAAGTCCAATATCTTTCCTCAGCACCAACCACCTCCAACTTATCTCTCTAACGTTGTCTCCAAACTGTTGAACTTCAGCTGGAACAGTCACTCGGATTTAAAATCAGACAGTATCGTTAGTCTAAAAACATAATTTACTTAAAAAGGTTCCTTGAATGGAAAATGTTTTGTTTTATGAAGTGCTGACTTAACAGACCAAAACGTCTGGACAGCATTATATTTGTTGATCCTGGAATAGTTTCTCAATTGCTTTAACAGACCAGAGTTTAGAGTTGCAGCCTCACTGTAACTGGAAACATCTGAGATATTCTAGCCGCCAATATTTGTCCAATACTTACAGAACCTACCGAGAGGTAATTCAGGTTTTCTTTTGATGTTTTAGCCCCAGGCTTATATTTGGCTTAGATCTAATGACCAGCAAAGTATAATGTAAGCCTGAAGCATAATGCTTCCTCATTCCATTCTTCTCAAAGAAGGAGAGCATCAGGTCAAATGAAACCGACCCCTGAGGGAAAGTAGACATAATCTGGTGGTGTGATTGATGTGATACTGTCTTTAAACAAGTTGTGTCCTAGGAAATTATAAAGTCTGAAAAGAACAAACATTGCATTCAAAAAGAAGATGGGAATAACATTTGGTGTAAAATGACAATGTTGTATTTCTTCGAAAATCATTTTTGCTGTGATCTTAGATTTTCTCCAGCTGTGAGATAGCTACCATAGATATATTGGTCTTCCTTTTCTTCTAACAATGTCAGCCCCCCCAACACACACACACATGCAATAACACAGACAGATAAAAATTGCCATTATGCAAAGTAATAATAAAGTTTTTTGTTTGTTTATTTTTATGTTAGAGAATGGTTAAAATTTTCTTTCCTATGTCAGGAATTTGATGTACAACACTCTCAAAGTGAAGGGTTTTAAATAAATATACACAATCTCACTGTTGAATTGATTTTTTTATGCATACTAGGCAGAGGATCAAGGTTTTTAATTCATCAAACTAAATGACAATACAGTATGATATTTCGTAAATCTGTCATGGAATCACATCTACCATGCTCCATTTCGTTTTTTTCACAGCCGTTCTTGTCATTTAGATCATGTCATTTTTACTCGAAAATAATTTGGGTTTAGCGATTAATGGTTTAGAGAGACAACAATACCATCTGCTGGTAAATGATGGTAGATGATACAGTTTGTACTGTATTTTTGTTTTTGAGTAATATATATTTGTTATTTATTATTTAACATTTCGAAACCGTTTACAGTAAAAATACACACCAAAGGTAACGTTGTAATTTGATTACTTTATTGCAAATCAAAGTAATAGAATAAAAAACTCCTTCTATAGATGAATTTCATTAAATAAATATTAAATTAACAATCAAACACACGCGGTTATCTGGATAAAAGCGAATAGGGCAATGTGTATATAAAGAAAAGAAGGAAAGTAAAAAGACAAATACCGACCTTCACTTCCGTTTCAGAAGTCACGTGACCTGTAGGTTGTGGCGCAAAGCGGAAGTGGAGCTCCGACACTGACATGGCGAACGCAGCCAAACACGACACAGCGATGCTGTCCTTCTGTAAACTTCGCGTTTTATGCATCTATTTATTCATATTGACACAGTTTGCGACGCTGCCAATTTGGGCCAAACCGGAAAGTCTGAGAGAAGTCACTGACGCCAACTGGGAGGAAATCCTGTCGGGGGAATGGATGATTGAGTTGTAAGTGTCACGATGATAACGGCTAACAGGCTTCCTAGCTCGTCTTTAAAACCTATAATAAAGTCGTTGCACAGATGTCCTTACTTTGGGGAGAGTTCAATTTCGTATGTTTCATCTTTCATAGCTGCATTTAGCGCATTCCCCTCGTTTGTTTACATTTTAAATCAACTAAATTTCTATATCGTTGACTTCTGTCATTCCAAGCCTGTGTATAAGTAGAAGCTAACAATTGCCATTACTGGCCAGCCGGCCAAGTCGTAACAGTCAAGTGTGTTTATATTCAAGCACTCTACGTTTACGTATATATTTTTTACATATTAAAATTGTTTCCGTTTCTTCGTCCTATCACAGCTATGCCCCCTGGTGTCCAGCCTGTCAGCAGCTGCAGCCAGCGTGGAAGGAGTTTGCAGAATGGGGGGAGGACATGGGGGTCAACATAGCCAAGGTTGACGTGACGGAACAACCTGGTATGTTTGGATGACCTTTACTAACTGGCAACATCTTTATGTATTCTATGTTTACTGACTACGACTTCATTTATACCTGGTCACGCTCACACCTTATAATGTTCCTGGGGTTCAGTCATGAAATGTACTGTAGTAAATTAGAATCTAAATGTTTTTTTGGTCTTTGGAGGTTTTTTGTCACATTCTTAAGAAATTTGCAGAAAAAAAAACCCTGGCAATGGCCTGGGTAGAAAGATTGTTTTTTTTTTACACTTTTGGTACTTCTTCATTGTTTATGTACAGAGAATGCACACTAAGGCATCCAAAATCCAGATTGTAGCTTAGTTTCAGTATTGTACAGGACTTCTTTTTTTTTTTTCCCCACATCACAGCCATTAGATCTGCTGAGGTCTAATGTAAAAATGTCTTTTTGTGGCAGTGACTTGGGTTTGTCACTTCCTGCTCGCTGACACCTTTTTTTTTTCTTCTTTCCTGTCAGGTCTGAGTGGACGATTTATCATCACTTCACTTCCTACTATTTATCAGTAAGTTCTTGCTCATTGCGGTTTTTAACTGCTCACTGTGTTCATGTGTACTGTTTTTTTATTGTAGGTAAGAACCTGAGTTGCAAATATGTATCCATGGGTGGGTCAACATTACAAAGTGAGTTTGTTTGTGTGTTTCAGCTGCAAAGATGGTGTTTTCCGTAAATACCAGGGCGCTCGCACTAAAAATGATTTTCTCACCTACGTGGATGAGCAGAAATGGAAAACAGTGGAGCCTGTGTCGTCTTGGTTTGGACCATCGTCATTTTTGTGAGTTAATTGACTAACTAACTCCTGCTTGTTACGTAATCAACTCTGTGTCCACCTTGTGGTCAGACTAACCTTCATGTCATTCAGTAATGTTCACCATTTTAATTGTGAATTAACAGATCATAACCTGTTTTCTTTTTTGGACTTTTTAATGCTATTTTCTATTGCTTTCTATAGTTGGTTTTAAGACTTGTGACTGTTTTGGGATAATTGTCCTTATACTCTGTACATTTTCTTTATCCAACAGAATGAATGCCATGTCTGCTCTGTTCAAACTCTCCATGTTTATCAGGGTGAGTCAGATTTTAACTCTCTCGATGGTTCTTTTGTTTTGTTTTTTTGTCGTTGTTTTTGTTTTTATTATTTGTACTAATTTCACACAAAAAAAGCATTTGAGAATAAAGTTGACCCATAAAACATTTAATGTTTAACTCAGAGCGTCTGATAGAATTGTACTGCGTGTGATCATGACGCAGAGAAGTGTAACTGACACACAGCACAGACAATACAGGTTGTAGGACACAGAGATAAAGTTACACCAAACACAGTCAGAGAGGAGGTGAAGGAAGTAAATCCTAGATGTGTTATACACTTAATTCATTTTTTCTTTTGCAAAATGATCATGACTGGTAGTGTTGTGTGTTTCAAACTGAGTCCAAATGTTTATAAAATGACTTCAACTGTAGCTATAATATATATATCTAAATATATTGAGGCAAATCTGAACTAGACTACAGTGTAATTGTACTCTGATTCGTGTAACTGTAATCCCATTCCCTCCATATGATGTCATGATATTTACCTTGATTTTATTATTATTGTTTTCATTCTTTTCTTAAGTTGTTTACATTGTTTTCATTCTTTTCTTAAGTTGTTAGGAGTGGAACGTATGATGTGACCCAGTTGTTACTGGTTGCTGACCTGACCTCAGCCGACCTCTTGAACTGAACGTGTGTTGGCTTGTTTTTACAGCGTTGTCACAATTACATGACGGAGCAGCTGGGCATTCCTAACTGGGGCTCCTATGTTATCTTTGGTTTGATCACTCTCTTCTCCGGCCTTGTTCTTGGACTGGTGAGTCGTCACTCTGCTTGGAAACACTCACTTATTAACACTGCTCCTTCAGGAAAATCTGTTCAGACTTGACAGTGAAATGAACAAATTCATGGGTTGAAGAAGTCTGTCTGTTCACATCAGAACAAGCACAAAGTCAAGTCTTATTGAAATGTGCAGCAGAAATTTACAAATACATTATCATTTATAATTTTGTTTTATTTATCTACTGTAAATCCAATATTGAAATTATATTAACAAGACAAACCTTTCTTGTCAGAAAAATAGCTTGGAAAAAGTACAATTTGCCTATTGCTGAGTGTACTACAGTTTACAGTTTGATCAAGGAGAGGTTTTTTTTATGTTTGAATAACTAATAATTATATCTCTACTCTTAATGGTTACTTAATTGTTGTTGTTTTTTTCCAGATACTAGTGTTCATCGCAGATTTTGTCTTTCCCTCTCGACGGTTTTCCTCTCCAGACTACTATCAGAGTAAGTGTCAGATGAGTCGTTGGAACTCCTGCTCGTGCTTTTATTTTGATAGAAAATAAAAAGTTTTAACAGCGTTTAAAATTCTCAACTCAACTCTCTTAATGACTGACTGGATGAATGCTCCGTCTGTGATTCTGCAGAGAAACCAGGGATGGATCATTCCAGGCTAATCCAACATCAGGAGGACGCACACGAGGCAGACGGAGAGGAGGAAGACGAGGATGACGAAGAGGAGGAGGACGGAGACCAGGACGACATGTGGAACAGGAGGAGAGGGTCTCCCGAGGGCCGCCCCGAGGAGGTTCTAAGGAAGAGGGTGGTACGCAGCCGTGAGGAGGAGGAAGACGAGGAGGACACATAGAGCCGTCCTGGAGGAGATTCTCACAACCTGCGTCTCCTTCTGAGAAGACGGCTGTAGAGACAGTAGAGGTCGGAGGAGCTTTGCTCGTAGAGAAACAGTGTTTACAGCGAGGAGAATTCTACACTCCTTTTACTTTTCTGCTCCTCGTTCCTCCTCCATTCCCTCGGCCGCCACAAACTCTTAGCTCCTCTTCCTTTTTTTTTTTCTTTCCCTTGGTTTATTTTAAAGGGAGCACTTTAGGCGCTCACTGCTGCAGCAGCAGTTATTCCTGCCTGAGCAGCAGAATGAAAAGTGAAGCTCCTGACACCAGTTTTCACTCCTGGGAACAGACTTCCTGGCTGGGCTTTAGTCGTGGAGCTGCTTGGAGCTGGACTTTGCAAGGTTGTTGACGCTATGCATCTTTTCTTTTTTTTTTTTTAAGATTTCTCTGTGTGTGAGTGATTCTACCAGGGGTGTTTGCAGAGGGTGATGTCGTTGCATTTTACTCCTGAGCTTCTGTCTGCGTGTGTGCAAGTATTTCATGTTGCCTCTGTGTTTAACAAAGGCTTTTTGACAGCTTAAAATCTCAAAAGTCAAAGTTGTTTTTTTTTGGTCACAATCAATAAAATAGCAGAGTAAAGAAAGTAAGCAATTATTATTAATATTATTAGAGTAAAGCAATTGCTGTAGTTACAGGTGGGTTATTGACATCAATGATAGAACGCCGGTACAAGTTTCCAGGTCCAATATGTAACATTCTGCCTGATGAACAGACGTCAGGACAGATATCTGTTACTTAATTAAAAAATGCTGATGTCTCGTCCAACACTTCTCTGTGTGTTATTGTCACTTTATCAAAACCCTATACAAGATTATTTATATTTTTTCGGCATTTCTTGAAGGCATCAGCTTATTGTTTTACCATCAAAGAAGAGCTGGAAACAAATTTCAAATTCTTAGATTTAGGCAAAAGAGCAGTGTTGGAAATTGTAAGTACTGTAGTTATACTACAGTTTGGATGTGTGAGCCATGAATGTTGTTGTTTTGGAAGAACAGACACACATTTGGTCCATTCACATGTATTACAAATAATTTGACAGGGAGACCAAATGTGGCCCGGGAGCCACAGGTTGCAGACCTGCCTTTCAATAGGTCCATTCTTAAATACAGTCTTGTACTGGGCGTAACTACAGTATTTATACTATACTGTATTGATGATCAGCTCATCATTTGCTTTTCCCAGATCAGCATCTTGTGCTACACTTGAAAACAACTTGACGAGACGAACAGCGCAAACAAAATTAGAATTCTATTCTGACGATTGCTATGCTCAGAATTAGTTCCTGACAGACTTGAGTACCGATCCAAGTGTTCGGGGTATTGAGCTTCCAGAGACACATTTAGCAGTACATGAGATTTACCTATGGATACACAGTCTGCTCTAGCTACTGATCTAAAACTGCAGCAAAAAACAGACTGTACTACACAGTCTGAAGTATTATCTTTTATTTTTTTAGATTTAAGTTCAAAGTTATTTCTTTGACCGTTAACACAGTTCTTGAACAAATCCAGAAAATCGTTTAATTTGCATTACATTCATTTGCATTGTGTACAGTAGAGTTACAGTTAACATTTAGTTGTGGTTCCACTTTCAAAATAAAGGTGCAGTGTGAAAGGGTTGAAATGCTTATTATTATTTCAACTGTGAGAAGTGGAACAGAAATAAAGTATGCTTTTGTTTTTATAATTGTGCAGATAAAAAGATGGTAAATGAAAATTGTGCACAAAGGCAACAGGGAACAGGAAAACTCTTGACTTTTTACCCCCAATGCTACGAACTGTACCTTTAATGTGGAAAAACAATCAATCCAATATTGACGTGACTTATGAAACACATCAATTTAAATAACGATTTCAACTCCCTACTTTTGTCTTTGATACCGTTTACCCCTCTGCTGACAAGAATGTGACATTACACCAGTGGAATGTTTTTTTTAATATTATAAGTGTATTTTTCTTATACTTAAGGGATGTGACAAACGATGTGCAGTATGTGCATGATATAGTATCAACAATCAGTTACTTCAAAAGTTGTTGTTATTTGAATAAGTCTGTCACACACTGCTCTGGTCCCTGAAAAAGACACTTGACTTGGGTGAAGTGAAAATGTCAATAAATTACAAATTTAATGAAATAATTTATTTTAATGAATGGTTTAGATTGTATTGAAACATTTACATTTCATATTTTATTCAAAGTGATGTGTATGTTATTGTTTTTTTTTTTTTTTAATCACATCCAACTCTGTAGCTGAACATTATTGACAACATGTAGCATTGACATTTTGCTTCTCCTAATTTCCTTTTTTTCCCTTTCTGGAATAAAGTATTAACTCTCTGTTCAGGCTCATTTGTTCTGTTTTTCTTCTTCTGTCACTAAAGTGACTCAGACATCACTGTAACCTTTGTTGCTGAAAAACAACAGCAGCGAGAAATTTGGGTTTGGAGCTGAGGAAAATATTTCACGTTACTATTCATTAATTTAACATTAATGACTGGACTATGTAACCTTTGATGTTCTTAAATACAGGGCGAAAATATAACTGCACATTCCATCACATCTATATAACAGAGTACGTTTCAAAGCACATTTGTACTATATTCAAGCTGTTTCCAAAATATCTGGACTATTCCTTTAATTTACAAATCAGGCCAAATAATGGTCAACCAGGTTGACTTAAAGTTTATATTCCTTTAGAAATATATAATCTTAAACTATAAAACATATTTACTGTGCTCAAAATATATTACATTTTGGCCAGTAGATGTCACTGTTGCACTAATTCGAAGTAAGCGTTCAGCTTAATTGCTTGGGGGAAAATTATTAAAAAGGACAAAAAACTAAACAAAATGGCTTCTTGTTAGGTTGTTGATGTGTTTTAACTGTTGCAGCAGCTCCAGGTGAGATTTATTCGCCGATAAAATGGAAAAAACGGTTCTGTTGTATGTTGCTGACACCCGCGCTAAGGAGAGCAGAGCGGCCAAGTGGCTACAGGTGGAGCTGATGAGACACGGGTGGATCTCAACAAGGCAGCGGCAGTTAATCAGTACAAACTGACAGCCAGAGGAGGGCAGTGGGATACAAACCAAAAATCTGGAATTTGGAGAGAAGACATACTTCGGTAAAAAACACACACAAAATAATAATAATAATAATGAAGATAAAAAAAAACAATATGGAGGCATTTTAACGTCAAAAATAGCGACTTTCAGCAAATAGTTAAACTAATTAATTAAAAAATAAGCAGAATAGTAGGCCATTAAAGGAGGAGCAGAAGCATCATTCATAGACGGACATGGTGTTAAAATTCTGCTGTTCATCCAACCCTTCCTTGAAAGACCCAAGTAATTAACACTGGACACACACTGGTGCTGGGCTGCACTTCACCGCCCCCTGGTTGCAGGGCAGCAGTGGTGATTGCTCAACACATTACAGCTGCTGCTGCTGCTGCTGCTAATACCTGCTGCTGCTGCTAATACCTGCTGCTCATCACAAGCTTTGTAAGACCTCAGATGGAGAAACAGTAAATTGGGAAAAACAACATTTCTGTGGTCACAGCTCTCCCAGACAGGGCTTCACTTGAGTTAAAAAAATAACAGCATAATCTTGGTCGATAAAAATAAAAGTTAGCCAAATTAACGGAAAATAACTAGAAATTAGTTGGAGAATAAATGGTTAAAAATCCACCAAGACAGTTAACATGTGAATATAGTGTAGTCAAAACTAAAACTAAAACTTTGAACTAATAAATAGGAAATGTGATGTACATTTTAGTGCACGAACAAAAAAAAAACCACATTAAGAATTTGAGATACTGTTTTTAGGATTAGAATTGATTTGGAGTGGGAAACAAAAAAAACACACATTAAGATTACTTATAATTACTGTATTTAGGATTAGAATTGATTTGGAGTGGGGTTCAATCTGAGAGGGGTGCTGAGCTGAAAATATTTTAGGATTTTGACATAAAATTTCATATTCCTTCTATAGAGTATCCCATAGAATACTCAACAGTTTGCTTGTACATAAAAAATTTTAAAGCAACATTTGTTGATTGTTTGTTGACCGAGTGACACACACACACACACATACACACACAGGCCCAGTGTGTGAGGGGATTCCTCAGCCGGTGATGGTTCAGGTCAGAGGTCAGAGCAGCGTTTGGAGAAGATCCTCCATAAAAACCTGCTCCACTCCACCCTGACTGGACGGAGGTCGAGTCTCCCTCACTGGATTTGATTTATCGGGCGCAAGCGAAGAATTCCTCTGTAGCCAATCAGCATCTCTCTTACAGCCCTGCGATGTAAAGTGAACGCAGATGGCATCGCTGCCGGTTCCTGCCATCGTTCATTTAACTCGCTACGGTCCGTATGGTTCCTCTCTATCGTCCTTGGTTTCACTTTAGAAGAAAAGTTCATGTCTAGAGAGAGAGAGAGAGAGAGAGAGAGAGAGGACACCTGCATCTTCAGATTTTGATGGTCCACAGCTTTGGTTTAGACTAAAATATCCGAGCTCAGACTTGATGGATCGCCACAACAGACTCTCCCACTGGGAGAAGTCAATCTCTGTCTCGAACTATCTGCAGGTGCACACAACTGGTTCGTGGGACTGAGATATTGTTTATAAAATAGCAGTTTGTTCAGTAAATCTCTGGGCTACACTCTTTATTTTGGGTCATGGGAGCGGCTGCAGGCCTGGAGAAGAAGAAGGAGAAATACTCGGCTAAGAAGTAGTAAATTATACCTGCTGCCGTAGTTAAGAAACAAAAGCATTTTGCTGTAAAACAGCAGCGTTTGGCCCGACAACAACAGCCGACAACAGCAGCAGCTGGAGTAGTTTCAATGATTAACATTATTATTATTGTTGCAAACTGGAGTAGTTTTAATGATTAATATTATTATTATTGTTGCACCATTAGTGATGTAGTAGTTTTAATGATTAACATTATTATTATTGTTGCACCATTAGTGAGCACAGGTGGCGCTAACAGGACACAGGTGAGGGCCATCAGGGCAGAGTGAGGATAGTACAACCGGACCAGACAGGAAACTGCCACCGTCCACTGAGAAGGAGTGGATCAGATCAGACTTGGCGTCCCTCCATCGGAGACATCACCATCGGCGTCTCCTCTTCATCCCGGTGAGATGATCTCCATCCGTGACTCCAACCTGAGTCAGTGTTTCCACCTCGGTGGTGAGCAGCAGACCACAAACACAAACAGAAACCTTCAGTATCTGGTTTCCCACACTCTTCCTCTTCTGAAAAATCCCCCTAATTTATCTGATCGTCTTCATAAATCAGTTTGAAACCGGCAAACACAATTTTTCCATTCTCTCTCAGTACATCAGTACGTGGAACTGATTGGCAGAGCTCATTCCTGGCCCAGAAAAAAAAAGTTTAGCAGAGTCGAATGGAGCAGTTATGCAGGAGGAGAGGAGACAGAAGGATTTTTGGATGGACTTCTTTCATCTTCAGGCTCGAGGCCAGAGAGGCTTCAGCTGCGACCACAAACATCCATGAGAAAAACAACGTTGTCTTAAGAATCCAACTCTCCCTCCCTCTCTCCCCTGGCCCCTCCCTCTCTCTTTCTCTCTCTCTCTCTCTGGTCCAGTTCGTTTTTCTGTCTCTGAGGTGTTCAAACAAGGCAGCACTTGTTCTCTGAGCTGCAGCGCCCCCTTACTGCCCTCCACAGTATGCGGTTAGACCATACATGGAGAAGAAGATCATGAAGGAGAGGATGTTAGAGAATTCTTCAGCCGTGATGGTAATAATGATTATTTGATTTGATTTAACTGTGATGATGTGGAGGAACTCCTCACATCAGGATGGTGTTTTCTTCTTCTTCTTCTTCTTCTTACTCCTCACATCAGGATGGTGTTTTCCTCCTCCTTCTCCTTCTTCCTGCTTTTCTTCTTCTTCTTCTTCTTTTCTTCTTCTTTTTTTTCTTTTTCTTCTTCTTCTTTTCTTCTTCTTTTTTTTTTTCTTCTTCTTCTTTTTTTTCTTCTTCTTCTTTTTCTTTTTCTTCTCCTTCTTCTTCTTCATCTTTCCTTCTTCTATTTAAAAACCTGCTCACGAACCTCAACATCACTTGATTGTATGACAGCCAAAAGAGTGATTATTCAAACTAATAATTTGAACTAAAAGAAAGAAAAAGAAGAAAAGCAACTCGTTGGCCCCAAGATGGAACCAAACTCATCACAACAGCATCAAACAGGATTTAGAACACACATCTAAAGGCACAAATCTATCAGTCAAAGACTATTCAGAAAAATCTGGAAGGTCATTAAATGTTAATGTTTTTACTAGATGTGAGAGGTGCAGTAAGATGTTCACCAGGATAAAACTGTTTGGTCCAAAAGAAGAAAATAAATAAATAAAAAATGTGAAAGCTTTAAGTGTAGCTGTATATAAGTGGACAACAACAGGACCCTGGGACAGCCGATTAGAACCTGGGATGTCCAACAGAAGTAGACATACGACTGTTTACCATCAAGACCTCTATTCTTCAACCTTTCTTTTTCTTTCACTCACTCGCCCTGTTTTCAGCCCACGTTAGTTCTTTGAACTCGTACACACTCTCTGACGAATAGTTTCTCTTCTGTGTAAACACTCAGATAAAATGATTTTTTTTTCTCTCTCTCTCTGAATGCTGCCCTGTACTCACCCGCATGGGCGGTGTGTCATTTCCTGAGGAAGATTTAATGACACGCTGCTGACTCTGACGTTTTTTTGTTTTGTTTTGTTTTTTTAAAAAAGAAAAAGAAAAAAAAAGAGGCAAAAACAAAGGTTTGTTGTCTCCGCTCCAGTCTGGACCAGGTACTGTATGTTTTGGGAAACTATTGTGGTCATGGCAGAGAGAACACCCCCCCCCTCAACAACCCCACATTATTCAGGATTTTAAAATAGCTGCAAAGACTTCCTGTGCTGTAAACACAGTATAAAACACACGCTCCACTGTGTCTGTGGAGTTAAGGCAGGAGTTTTAAGGCGGTACAGGAGGGGAAAAAAATCCTTCTGTCCTTTAAAAAGTAATGAAACTCATTGACCTTTCACTTTTTAACTTAAACAAGAAGGAAATTCCAATAAAGTGTCTCCTGGTCTTTAACGTTCCTCTGCTAAAGTGACTTATAGACATGTTTGACATGAACAAAGTTATTGATTAAAATAACATTAAAATTCAGATACTGTAGAACTGTGAAAACTACTTCTCTGACACTTTGCTGTTGTAATAATACACATTATAGCAGTTTGATTCTGGACTGTACGTAAAAACCCAGTACATACATGTGATCAAGCTTTAAATACTACAGTAAATCCAGATCATTTTAAAATGTTAA